GAACAGCCACAAATAGTCATTAAGACTAATCCAAAGTAGCGTCCGTTATTGACCAACATTTTTGCGTACCGAAGTACTACTTAAGCGCTGAGTTGGCGGTGGTGGGATTTGAACTCGTATCGTTCAACAGTCCGGGTTTTAACTTTTCATAAGGTATTTTAAATAAAAATCAAATACTTGTTGAATTGATTTAGCTAAGTTTGGCCTAATATTGGCAAAGAAGCTGACAAGATTTTCAGCAATAGAAGATTTTTGATGCACTAGCTTTTTATTAATCATAAGTTTTTTTTGTAGAATATTTTTATTACTTTTATTTTTTCCAATTATTTCATTAATAACATGCCATGTTTATTTCGTGTTTTCATAAGTTTTTTCTAATAATTTTGCAATAAATTTTTTTAGAGTATTTTTTTGGTTTTTTCAAATAGATTTTTTTATAATTTTAAATAAAATTTTAAAATTTACAATTTTTATAGTTATGATTATCTGAAAAAAAAAAACAACGATGTTTTGTATAAAAAGCAGTTCAGGTTCAAAAAAAAGCATTCAACCAAACACGCAGTAGTCGAGCTTGTAAACAAAATATCGGACGCCCTAAATAACGATTACTTTATATTAGGAGTTTTGATCTGTCCAAAGCCTTTGATACAGTAAATCATGATATACTGCTCAGTAAACTTGAACACTATGGCGTTAGAAACAAAAATTTACGTTGATTTGAAAACTATTTAACAAATAGAAAATAATTCATATGCTACGATTCAAAAGAAACAGTTAAACACTCAATAACTTGTGGGGTTCCACAAGGTTCTATTTTAGGCCCATTGTTGTTTCTACTGTACATAAATGATCTTTATTTATCATCAAATCAAATTTTATTCTATTTGCAGATGACTCTACACCTTTTCAAGATGTAAATGAGAACATGAAAGTTGTAATTAAGAAGTCGTAATATGTAATTAAGAAACACAACATGTAATTGAGAAAACGTTATATGTAATTGAGAAACACAACATGTAAATAAGAAGTCGTAACATGTAATTAAGAAACACAACATGTAATTGAGAAAACGTAAGATATAATTGAGAAACTATAATATGTAAATGAGAAATCGTAACTTGTAATTGAGAACACATAAATTAAAATAGCAAATTCACAGTCTAAGTTTGTAGGTTGTTACAAAAGGTCTTTTTGGACATGAATTTAAGTTATAATCTTAAATTTTGCTTTTGTATGCACAAGTAATAATAATGGAATTGAAAGATCGTTGTGTTATATGCCAATACACTATGACCCGAAAGTCTGTGATTAAGCTAAATCCGTGTCAACATTTATGTCACCAAATTTGTTTACGTCCAGTTCTGAAACAACCAGATTCAAGTTGTCCGATTTGTCGGCATGAAATACACACAACTGAACAAGTTGAAAGGAAACGTTACGTTTTATCTTCTCCAAATGACAGGAGAAGAGTTGTTGAATGTGCGGAGCGATTTGAAGATTGGGTGAATCTCGCGCAAACGCTAGGTATCAAATATAAGACAGCATACAATTGGGTTCGCAGCGGAAATTCAAATTTCATCGGAAAAGGAGGTTTTAAACCGAAAAAGTTGACCGAAGATCAAATTGAAGAAACCTTAACATGGATTGAAAATGATTGTCAATTAACATTGGTGGCCATCAAAACAAAGATATTAAGACAATTTAACATAAACGTTAGCACAACAACAATAGCAAATTACCTCGAAGGCAGATTGTTCTCATTAAAAAAAGTGCACAAGGAGCCTTCTACAATGATCAGTTATGAAAACAAACAAAAATGAGCTGAATATGTGAGAAACATCAACGAACATATCACAAATGGTCGTCAGATAGTTTGGTTGGATGAAACAAATTTTAACCTTTTTTGTAGAAAAACGCAAAGACGCGCGAGACAAGGAAAAAGAGCAATTATGAAAGTACCTGCTTCAAAAGGTTTAAACATACACTTGATCGCAGCTATTTCAACTACAAATGTCGTCATGATAGAAACTTGCAGGGGATTATTTAAAGCAGATTTCTGTAACGAGTGGATGTTGGCTATGTTTCACCAGTGGGTTACATCCGGGAATCGTTTGGAGGATTTGGTCGTCGTAACAGATAATGCTCCTTGTCACGCTCGTTTGCAAAGGGTGTTTGATAATTCACCAGCTCAGTTGTTACGTTTGGGACCTTACAGTCCAATGTTGAACCCGGTGGAAACGATCTGGTCCAAAATTAAAAGTAACGTTAAAAATGCAATTCGCATTCGACCTGTATTAGGTGACGGGATTGTGGAACAGCGCATGCAGTACTTAGAACGAATTGTAATTGAGGTGAAAAATACTATAATGGGAGGAGATTGTGCACGTGCGGTACAACACACAACCACGCACTATGCAACTATTTTAAATATGGAAGACGTACAAGTTGGTGCTTAAATGATCAATGAAGTGATTTTTAATTATATAATTTTTAATTATAATTTTTAATTGAATTATAAATTTTTCCCTAAAATGTTTTTAGTGTTTATTATTTTAAATTCATTTGCCCAAAAATTATAAATTTTTCCCTAAATTTTTCCCTAAAAAATTAAATTTACGCTACAAATCTTGCGTCATTTTTAAGTGCGTCATTTTATACGCTCCATTTTTTTAAGCGCCATTTTTTTTAAGCGCCATTTTACACTTACTCCTTTAAAGCGATATCTAAATTAAAATTTTCGTGTTCTCAATTACATCTTTCTATTTCTTAATTACAACTTACATTTTCTCAATTACATCTTACGATTCTTAATTACAATTTTCGTTTTCTAAATTACATCTTATGTTTCTTAATTACAACTTACATTTTCTCAATTACATCTTACGATTCTTAATTACAATTTTTGTTTTCTCAATTACATCTTGAAAAGGTGTAGTCTCTTTTATTCACAAAAAGATATTAACACATTTTTTAAACATGTTAATGAACAATTAGATAAAGTTAGTGGTTTGTAAGTAACAAACTTTCTCTAAATGCTGATAAAACTAAATTCATTTTGTTCCAAAAATTGAATAAAACTGATATCGTCACATTAAAATTACCAAACCTTATTATAAATAAAGCTATAATTAAAAGAGAATCATCGGTAAACTTATTAGGTGTCGAATTGAATGAAATTTAAGATGAAATTTTCATATAAACAACCTTGAAAAAAAAATTTCTAGAAATATAGAAATAATTTATAGACCTAAAGCACTTCTTAGTTTTAAATCACTAAAAAGTTTATACTTTGCTTTTATCCAAAGTTACCTAACATACTGTAATATCGCCTGGCTAAGTGCCAATCATACAAAATTAAAAAAGCTTTACAGTAAACAAAAACATGCATGCCAAATCATATTTAAAGCAAATAAAGCAGAACCCTGAGAGCCTTTATTATGTTTACTTGGAGCTTTAAATATTTATAGATAACTTTGCTTTCCCAAGATATAGTCTGAAATTGAGTTCATATTCAATTAAGTATCGTGGGCTATATTTATTGAATTTATTTTCAGATATTACAAATAAAAAGAAAACCACTCTTGATCGATTTAAAAAAGAATCTAAACGGTTGTTTTATTTATGGATCTTACTATGCTAGAATTTAATTTTTTTTTTTTTTTAAATAAAGTAAAACTCTAATAAAAAATCAAGATAACTTAAAAAAAAAAAAAAATTCTTCCAAAAGAATGTTATTATCACAATCCACAATAACAAAGTTTATTAATGATATTACTCTATTACTCTCCTAATATAAATATATGTATATATCTCTTTTTATTATTATTATTATTATTGTTATCTTAATTTATTTTATTACAAGTATATACTCGTTTTTTTTTTTTTGCAGCTGCAGCTGCATTCTTTTTCTTTTTGTAACTGCAGATAATGTAAGCAGCTTAGCAATCAATACGCCAATATAATATAATATTTATATATCACGATTTGATAAAAATGGGGCTTGGTGATAAGTCAGAACTGTGTCTTCTTCTTGCTCCAGCCATTACTTATTTTGTTGTATATAAATGAAAATTATATTTGTTGTAGATGGCGAAATAAATATATCAAAAAAAAAAAAAAGGTTATCCTGACCCCACAGCAAAATAACTGTTGTAGCTGTTCTAACTCCTAACCTCCCTCAATTACCCAGAAAAAAAAAAACGTACATCAAAGCGATTTTTTAAATATAGCATACTTAATAAATAATATTGCATTAGACCAAAAACTAACCAGTAAATGTGATTATAATAGATATATCCGAAAGTTAAGCAAGGGACAATCAGATCTTTGTATTTTAAATAAGTTTAAAACAAATCAGTTAAATATAAAAAAACGTAAACGTCTCTAAATATTACACTGCTTTAATCAAAAATTTGTTATTGCATTATTAAATAAATGATTTTTTTTTAATCTCAAGGCAGCTTTTTTAATCAGCAAAATTATCAGAACCATTCCTAAATTATCATTGACATTAGGGAGTGTAAAATCAAGTTTTTTTTTGTTCCGTTGATGCATTTTGTCATTATTCAGCTTTTTTGAGGCTACTTTGAAGTTTAAACGTACAGCTTATATATACAAATATATAAACACTATTGTCAATTAGGAACTTAAAAAAACATGTTACATAAACAATATAGCAGACGTATTTTATTTTAAAATAAATAGATTCAAGATGTAAAAATAGAACATAGAGTAGAGCGGAGCTAGTTGTGCACAGGAGCAAGTTGGGCAATTAAAATATCTTAAAAACTATTTATCACACAACAAAACTAATGAATGAAAGTTGGGGAATTAAACGTTATACAATGCGCAACAAAAGATTGCTGTAAAATTAAAAGTAAAATTAAAAGTAAAGGTTATTTATATTATATATATTGAATTCGCTGTCAGGGCAATAAAATGTATTAGGCAAATGAATACTTGGTCTGATATAATTATTACGAATCAATTGAAAAAACAGATTTGAATTTCATAACATTTTTAAGCAACAAAAAACTAATATTATACAATGATTTGATACAAAACTGTTCTACGATGGTAATATTCTGCCACAGCAGTTCTCTCATATCGCCACCATATATAAAGTTTCTTCAGTTTTTCTTTTTAACCGGCATCCTCCAGGGAATCTAAAACAATGTTATTTCATAGTAAATAACTGATGTTGATAATTAGGCATGACATAAATAGACTTGTAAACAACAATAATATAACATGAATACTATATTACCATTTAAAATTTAAATTCTTGACTCAAGTTAACCTGACATCAAACCATTAAATTACTTGGTGAAGGTTTAATATCTTTTATATAACTTAATAAATACAAAAATAATCAATATCACTAACATTTTGATTGTACCAAATTAAACAATAATCATTTTAGGTTATATTATTACTTGAAAATAATTATTTGTTATAATTTAAACATGAAGAAAATTAAAAAAAAAATGTAATTTTGACCACAATAAGTTTTGTAATAAAATTATTTTTACAATGAAAATTTACAATTATAAACAAGTGTAGAGTACTTATATTATTATATATAATAGTTATATTCATGATTAGTCTAACATAACGTATTTCAATTATCGTGGACCAAAATTTATTGTTTAATTTCATGTTGTCTTAGAGCTACATTTTGTGATCATATATTAAACTTATTTCAAAGTAGATTCTGAAAAATATAACACCCTAACAAATTGGTTTAAAAAATAATTTCAAATAAATAACTTTTAAACTTTACTACATTGTGACAATGGCAGCATGTATTGATGACAATACATACTGCCATTAAACTATTAAAAAATTGACCATTGAAATCATATTGCATGATTTCATAACATACATGCTTTACCATATATAAATATTATTACTATTAAATATTATTCTACTAATCAACAGATAAATGAAAATAAAAATAAAAACAAACTACCATTAAGGTACCATATGAAGTTTATGTGAAAAATCCTTTTAATGTATATTTATTCCAAATCATGTCACACTACTTTATATGTAGTTTTAAAAATGTTTTTTATCATATATATTCATAAACTTTTAATGAAAAGAATATAAAACACACTATTATTGATCTAAAAATATATGTGCTATCATAATAAAATTTACATTTCCTAGAGATTCACAGTCCATCTTCTATTCATAGAACAACAACAACAACAATAATAATAATTATAACCATTCACAGAAGACCAGGTCAATACTAGGAAAAACCTGTATGTGCTGCAAATTCTATATATTTTTAATATATATAAATTATATTATCAGTGTTGCCACTATAATTTTTAAAGTTTTTCCCTGAGAATTCCCTGAGTAAAGAACGTTTTTCCCTGCGTTGAACTCTTTAAGTTCCCTGAGTTTTCCCTAACTTTTCTATATTCTTTTCTACTCATAAACGAGATTATTATTTTCCTTAATTAAACACAACCTTTGTATTTGACAAACTAAAACTCTTTCAACAAAAAACCCAACAACTAGCAAACCTATTATTATATGTATTAGCTTATAATAAGCTATAAACTTATTATTATATGCATTTTGAAAAAAAAATTATTGTACAAATTAAAAAATATATATATTTTTCCCAAGTTTTCCCTGAATTTTATAAAAATTTTAAAAAATCCCTGAGTATTCCAGGTTTTTCCTGGGATTCATGCTATTTCCAGGTATTCCAGGTTTTCCAGGTTGAATGGCAACCCTGTTTATTTATTTTATCAAACTCTGTAAACTAATAGTTCGAGATATTAAAACTCGGTGAAAGTAAAACTTTCTTGAACTTTCTGAAACAAAAATGTTCAAAATAATGTTGTCAGATTAACCATTTTATATAACTAATGTGTAAAAAACTAACATTTGTTGAAGTAATGCATTTTCTGTTGTTAATCATAAATCAACGCAAACCAACTCTAAAAACAAAACATAGATACTATTGAACCTCTTTAATAAATTCAATAAAGTTTTATTAAAATTTAAAATTTAATTAAGTTGTATACAAAAACAACATTTATTTATTTAAACAAAGAAATTTATTACCAAAAAAATTTGATATCTTTTTTATAACTTTGTAAATAAACATATTATATATGACTATATGATATCATATAATAACACAATGAAATTAACTTTCTGTAGCAAGTGAAAAATACAAAATACTCATGATTATTGAAAGATTCAGTTTTTGCAGTGTTAAGTATCAAAACTACATTTCCATTTTTATATTGCACTTGAGTAGCATTTTATGATTGTATATTTAATTTATTTCAGATTTGTTTGAATATATTTATTTATTAAAAAATGTGTTTAATAAATAAATATATTCAAATAAATCAAATCAAATCAAATCAAATATATTTCGAAATAAGTTATAACATTTCAAGGAAATTTACAATAGTACAAGTACTAATATAAAGTAAATACCTCAATATACAACGTAACGTTATAGTCAATGATACAACTGAAATAAGAAGTAGAGTTGTTGAAAGGTGTCATAAGAACTGAACTGAAATTAATTTTAAGAGAACTGATTTAAAACTGAAATAGAAATTATTTTGTAAATAAAATTAGAATTAGAATTTAAATCAACGCCATAAGAACTGAATAGAAACGGAAATAGAAATTATATTTCGAACGTAAATATCAGAGGATTACAGTCTGGAGCATTTAGTCACGCTCTAAGAATAGCAACCATCTAATACAGCGCAAAGATGTAGGCATTCGGTGAGCACCTGTGAGTAACCAAAGAAAAATGTACAAATTGTGTCGCATTTGCGTGTTCAATGCTTTTTCTACGTAAAGCCATGGCTTTCAGCACGTTTGACTGTAGATGCATCATTGAATGATCTGCAGTTGTAGAATGATATCATTTGGTATAAAGATTTTGATCCAGCCGAGGCACAAGCAGCTACAGAGGAGAAAATAGAAATAGTCTCACCTTTTTTTTTTGTTCTTCTTTAACAAAAATGGCATTAAAACAGTTATTAAATCTACTTTATTTCTTACTATAGCAGAAGACTACCATGATTAAAAAGTTTATAAATTGGTATGTTTAATTAATTATCAATGGAAAAAAAATTAAAAGTGTTCAACCTTTGGAGAAAACATATTTAACCTCCTTTACGTTATATACTAGAAAATACAGAAAATATTTTGTTTTTACGCTCATTTAATATTTAGTATTGCTTCCAGAATTTTTAATAATGCGACTTGACATATTAGTCACAAGATTTCGGATAGTTTTGAAGCTTCTCTGATACGAATTTTCAGCTCTAATGTGGATTCAAATTGCTTACCATTTTCATAAACCTTTCTAAAAAATATTAACTGGATTTAGCTCTGGACTGCATGCAAGCCATTTAATTATGTGAATATTTTTTCTCTGAAGTTATTGTAAGATTTTAATTATGGATAGCATTGTCTTGTTGAAAAGTGAAATTTCCACTTTTCTCTTTCTTCACCATGTTCAAGCAAACTAATTTCTAATAGGTCAATGTAGTCCTGTGAATTCATTTTTGTTATAATCCATGCCAGTGCAAGTTTTCCAGCAAAGGAAAAAGCCCCCGAAACCATAACAGCTTCACTACCAAAGTTACGACCCAGCTTTTTCTTTCTCGTTTCGAAGTTTTTGCCAGTAATATTGGTAGCCATTAGGACCATCTAGATGGACTTTTTTTATCACCAAAGAGAACTTTATGTCACAAGGGGTGTTCAAGTGGAAAAAAATTACTTTAGTAATTGTAATGATGTAATTTTAAAAAAAATGTAATTTTCTTTTTAATTACTTAAGTAACATTTTTTCTTTTTAATTTTTAAAAGTAACTTAAGTATTTTTAAGTAATATTAGATTTTTTCCAAACAATAAAATATCTCACCAAATATTACATTTTTCTGTGATATATAGTACTATATTTATAGTACTATATAGGTATAACAAATCATAACCTTGATAAACTTTTAAGATAAAACGCTAAAAACATATACATGATTTAAATCTTTAAATACAGATAAAACAAAATATAATTCTGTTTCATTTCAACCAGAAAAAAAAAATTCTACACATGCTACCATTATTAAAAAATGATAACATAAACATCGAAAGAACCGAAACCAATAAATTTCTTGCGATAATTTGTTGATGAAGATATTTCTTGGAAAACCCATTTAAAACAATAAATAAAAATATCAAAAAGTATTGGCATACTTTCCAAAGTCAAATCTATACATCCCCAGGAGAATCTAAAATTTCTCTACTTTTCTTAAATGCAAAGTTACCTATCATATGCTAATATTGCCTGGTAAAAAGTACAAATAAATCTAGCTGCATTCTCTATATATACACTAGAAACACGTATCAAGATTAATTTATAATAAAAATAAATTCACTTATGCCGATCCTTAACTTAAACCTTGAATGCTTTAAATATCTATCAAATTAATTTATAAAATATCTTATTTCTGCTCAAATACATGCTTGGACCCAACTCATTTTACTTGTAACTTTTTTCAAACCAACACCAACAGATATATCATTGAGGAACAGGAAACTTCACAATGCCTATAAAAAAACAAAATTTTTGATATTTTTAATTGTATATCAACTGAATATATGGTTCTAAATGAAATCAACAGGTACCTACAAATTTTTTTTTTCGAAAATTTTAGTCGATGGAGAAATTTAAAAGATATATAAATAAGCTAATATGTTTTCTGTTGTAAACCTATATGTTGTGGGTACATCAGTTAGTAACAAGTTCTTGAGGTCTCATCTCCGAGCATCGCGGTGAAGCATTTGATAAGAAGTTTACGTCTTCTTCCACGGTCGTTTAGATGTGGAAAGTTATTATACGCAAGCGCAGTGTCAAATTAAAATATTATAATTTTAAAGATGGTGACGGCCTTTAGATACCAAAATTTTTTCTGAGTAGCAACAATATTTTTAAAGTTTTACTTAGTAGTTATTATTTGCATATTTTTGATAGAATGAAATAATAATAAAGATAATTGAATTGTTGATTCAAAAATGATAAAAATAATATAAAGATGTTTAAATATATAAAAAACTGTGATTCTCTGCTACATTTATCTGACTGTTAAAAGCGTGATTTGTTTACATTTTCAAATCAAAAAATCTGAGCGATACAATTTAATAATTTTTACTTTTTTATTTCGAATAGTCTTATCTTGATTTGAAATTGTTTTCAGATCTGAGTATTCAATTTTTTTCTGAACAAAAATAGAATTCACCCAACACTACTTTTGTAGATGTATGATACATTTATATTAAGGTATATAGCTAATATATATATATATATATATATATATATATATATATATATATATATATATATATATATATATATATATATATATATATATATATATATATATATATATATATATATATATATATATATATATATATATATATATATATATATATATATATATATATATATATATATATATATATATATATATGTGAATGATTATAATATAAATTATAATATATAATTATATGTGGATGACTATACTATAAATGCAAAAAAAAAAAGGCTAAAAAGTTCACAAATTACTTATAAAGTATGTAAGATAAAATATTTATATATAAGTTAAATATAAATGTATTATGTTACATAGTTTATATAGCATTTAATTTATATTTGTTTTTATAATAGAGGTAATATAAACTATAAAATATAGTTTTTATAATATATCATAATCATTTAACTATATATTATATACAATTTGTATCCAATAAATTTGTGTGCATATTATATTACAACACGATTACAAGAATTGTATGCAAACACAATTAATGCATATAAATCAAACTCTAAAAAATAATAAAATATTAAAAATAATAATATATGTCCAAGCATAGTATACTATGTAATACAATACAGTATATATATATATATATATATATATATATATATATATATATATATATATATATATATATATATATATATATATATATATATATATATATATATATATATATATACATATATATACATATATATATATATATATATATATATATATATATATATATATATATATATATATATGTGTATATATATATATATATATATATATATATATATATATATATATATATATATATATATATATATATATATATATATAAGATACATACACCATTGGTCATTAATTAGAGCATTCTTACTTATATATCCTGTTTGCTTAAAATTACTTTAAAAACTAGTTAGCTTTTTAAATATTTTATTATTTCTAATTAATAAGTATCGTGTATTTTATTTAATGGACAAGTTGTTACCATAAAATTTCATTTGTATCCCTAATTATATGTAACTTTATAACATCGATTATATTTTTTTAAATTTTTTTTGTTTGTTAAAAATTAATGCTTACTGCTTTATTTTTAAAATTAATGTAATATTTTTTTTAATAATTTAATTTGATTTTCATTAGCATTTATTAACTCTAAATTTCTAATTTTGAAATAGTACTGATGAAAACACAAAGAAATTAGATATTGAAAAAGTCTCATAACGAGTGAAGTGAAACTCCAAAATCATGGTTGAGATTATCTGAAAAAACATGTTACAAATCTATTTTTATTTAAAACCAAGTATTATCTCTTCAACAAATAGCCAATAAGTTAAATATTGAATATTCGCATATTTGAAAACCTTATACTGAAACAGATGACATTATGGGTCTGGATAATCTGGTGGGCAACACAATGAGATAAACGTTTTTAATTAATAAAATTAATTTGCTTGATGAAACACGACAGCAAGTGGTGAAATGTTATATTCTCAGACAAAATGAATGATGAGGTAGATATGCAAAAATATGTTATTGCTTCATGTTCTGCTATGGCGATCACCTCAAGAATAATTTGATTTGAATTGTACATGAAAACCAACCAAGCAAGGTAATGGCAGTGTAGACTTTTGGGCCTACATGAATTATGCAGGACTTAAATGCTATTAATTATTTGAAGGTTGACTTAATGCTGATAGAAACATTGAAATTTTAGATAATTGCCATCTTCAATCCTTATTTAAGAAAGGTGGATATGCAAAATATTGAAATGCTTTTTTTATGGTTTTTCTTTGGTAAATTATTGTTTTAATATATTATTTGAAATATATACTTAACTTTAGTCCGATAGTTTTTTTAAATTAAGATAAAATGTTTAATTATTATTATTTTTTTTGGTATCTAAATCAATATGTTTAGATCTTTTTTTGGATTTTCATAATGCATATAGATTTTACTTGTATTAAAAAAATAAAAATAAAAGTATTTTAGTTTTCGATTTAGTTGATTTTGAATTTAATGTTTTATAAAAAAATCGTGACAAAAACAATGTGTGCTCTAATTTAAGGCCTAAAAAATCTTACCTACCTCAAAAAACTAATTTAATATCATGTCGTGGATATATATATATATATATATATATATATATATATATATATATATATATATATATATATATATATATATATATATATATATATATATATATATATATATTAGGCCCCTGCTAAGCCTAAATATTTTAAATCAAATCAAATAAGTGATTCAAGACTTGACTCAAAAAATCTCTATTTATTTTAATCAAATCAACCTGCTTTTATTAATAGTTTATAATGAAATTAGCTCAAGGTCATATCATTATAAATTTTAACAATCTTGAGTAATAACATTATTAGAATGTTATTACTCTAATAACATGAAGTTGTCTTAGAAATTTCAAGATACATTAAAATTTTTTTTTTTAAACTAAATTTAATTATGGTCATGCTTTGGTCAATTCTAAATGTTTTGCAAAAAATTTCATGAATTGTTAACAAAAATTCCCCTACAAGCTAACTGCCTCTGCCAAAACATGATGACAATGACTTGATAAAATGCTTAGTTTCGCTATCTAATACTAAATAAACCTTCAGTTTTTCTATTTAATTTATTTGTATTATTGTGCCTAAAAGTTATGACCATATAAAATTAACACCCCCCTCGATTTGATCAAACTTTGCTCATTTAAATACTAAAAAAATATTATAAGGTATTTTATTAATTATTTTAGCAATAAATAGTTAAAAATGGAAAAAACTTTTAAAATTCGAATGTATTAAAATATGAAATGATTTTAACAAAAACAAAAAGTAAATATATTAAAAATTGTATGTCAGGCCGACGTCCATGGGTCTAACATACATACGTATTGAAATTTATAAATATATATGTATACATATATATATATATATATATATATATATATATATATATATATATATATATATATATATATATATATATATATATTCTTTAGTTATGACTAGGAGTGTTTAAACTATTTATTTATAAAATGTAGAAATTTGTTTTGTTTTTTATTTGTTTATCTCTCCATTGACTTTTTAACCACAATAACTGCAAATAACTATATTGCATCAATGCATATATTACATACATATTTAAATATGTATGTAATATATGCTAAAATAATTAATAAAATATACATACATCTATTATGTATGTATGTATTAATAAAAACAATCCTGCCTGCCTGTCAAAGACAAAATTAGATGTGTTTTTGTTAATTTTAATAAATTAGCAAAAATACATCTAATTTTGTCTTTGTTATAGCACTCTATTTTTAAAATACACTAACATATCTTATATATATATACATATATATATATATATATATATATATATATATATATATATATATATATATATATATATATATATATATATATATATATACATATATATATATATATACACACATATATCTTTAAAAGTCATTTCTTGTTATATGATATATATATATATATATATATATATATATATATATATATATATATATATATATATATATATATATATATATATATATATATATATATATATATATATATATATATACTCACATCAATGTAATTATGTATTGTGATTATAGGGTAGCCTAGCAACAGCTTACTAAAAGTTAATGTTAAAAAAATGTCTTTTAATCTTGAAAAAAAATTGAATACTAATATCAGTAAACATTCTAAAAAAGATCAACAGTTCATCTATCTGAAAAAGTTAAAATTTAAAGATTTCTACGCTCAAAATTTTTTTAAAAACAATTTGAAAACGATAAACAAAACACACTAAAAAAGCTATTGCTGTAATTACATTTTATTCGTTTTTAGAGGTTTTATATTTAATTTGAAACATTTTATCGTGTACTAGAAGTTACTTTTATTATAATTTCCTTTTAATAAACGGCTAAATCCATATTTAATTGCTAAAAATTAGAAAAATAGCTCGTTGTCAATGAGAATTTTTTTTATATTCGTTATCCGTAGCCATTTTTAAAACTTTTAAAATATGCAAACTTTACTGCGCTTGCGTATAATAACTTTCCACTTATTTAGTAAGTCTGAACGACCGTGCTTCCTAACCGATGTAGAAAAACTAGTATAATAGTATAGTCCAATAATAATAGTATAGTCCAAAGGTGGGTTTATAACCCCGGATCGGTAGAGTCTTAGACAAACACGCTACCTACTGCGCTACGCAGCTGCGAATTGATGATGTTCGTAAAAAATTTAAAGCACAGTGCAATTTTTCAAGCATTTTTGAAAGTCATATGATCCTTCAAATTTTTCTTTGTTGATGTAATCAAGAACATTTAAGTAGGCTTTTTCTTTATTTTTTTCGTGAAGATTTTTTAGTTTTAACATTGGAGACCAACTATTGATGCTTTAGAATATTAAATAAGAAAAACATTAATGCTGTCTTCTAATAAAAATTTGTTATAATTTATAACTTA